GAGCATTCCAGAGTTGTCATAATTTGCTGAATTGCTTCCTGGTGCCTTGTTTAGTAGCTTGTTCCTTGCTTCTTCCCCTACTTATGAAGTTGTTAAGCAGACCTGGGTTATGCAAAGCATACTTACCCCACCAAGATGATGGGATTTTGGATGATGGGGAATTTTAGGGTTGGCTAGTTGTTTTCTAACTCGTGCCTAACATGTTGATCTGTTTGCTTTCAAATTAGTGTTAGGTTCAGTGGCAAACACACAGAATATTCAAGTATATCTCAACTTACCAACCTCTGGTACACTTGAAGTGTAAGCTGGCGTCATAGCAATTGTATTTGTCATGGGGGATCACTTGGCTGGATGGCCTCCTTTTTGGTGAGTTCATTGTGCCCTTGACAAACACAGCTCAACACTTAAATCCCTGAAGTTCCCTCATGGGCTGGAAGCGTAGATCTCTGTATCATGTCCCAGATTCACAGTTCCAAACACAAGTATTCAGATCAGAGCCGATGTTCATTCAGGTGGCACAAGCATGCTGCGTGTCAGGAAAATACGCCCCTCATAGATCGTTGGTATTCAGCAAGGCAAAAGGAAGAGCAAGTGCTCTTCCACTTCTGTAGGAGGCTAAAGGTCCAAGGTCTTAGCAAGAACGTTCAGGAAAAGAGATTTACACGAGTGGTAACTTTTTTCAGTAAGTCCTGTGGTGCCAACTGCAAGGGCTCATGTGATATTACAGATGTTCCAGTGTGATCGTTTAGTCATGTTACATTAATGATTGCTGTTATTCAAACAAGAGTGAGTTCAGTGATGTAACACATGGAATTTCATATGGCTGAGCAAACTGCTGACATGAATTTTACCTATGTGGATGTGGGAGAAGTTTTGTGAGCTTTCAGAGATGCAAAAGAGTGAAATGTCCTCTTCACTTGTGTTAGTAGGGTCAGTGGAGAGATGCTTTTATCAAAGGAATAATCAGAAAGACAGGCACAGACTTTACTTCCCTGGCAGAAATAGCAAGATACTGGCTGAATTAGTTTCCTAGTCCAGCTTCAGGGAGGACTGGCCAGTATGCAATTCCATCTGCATTGCTTAAAGTACAGAGACAGCATTGCAACAAGTAAGATTTTCACTGCTTTATGAGAAATTTATTTAGAATGTTTTCCTTCTTTGCAAGTTTCAGTCTGAAAAACTCAAAATACTTGCTTCAGCTCACTGAGAGGCAAGCTGGGCAGTTGTTTGGTTCTAGTTTTATTACTGTATTTACCTTCAACCCGATCATTTTGCAGGCTGTTTAGATGAGGGCTAGCTCTTTGAATTCATCAGTATTTTAAAAATAAGCCAGACAATGGCATATTTGAATGCTAAGGCCAGGATCATCTAAGCTTTTAGTGGTGCTGATCAGATTGACTTGTGAGATTGCACTCAAAGATGACAGGAGCAACCTGTGTGTTACATGACCTGGCAAGTATTGCTACAGCCATCACATGACCAGACTATTCTTAAATCTGTAATGCCAGCTTGTTAATAACACAGTGCAGAGAAGAGACTTGCCTTCAGATGAACTAACCTCAGAAACAGTGCTTCCAGAAAAATGCCTGCCTTTCATCCTACTATTTTTCATGTCCAAGATATGACTAAAAAAAAAGAGGTTGAAAGATTAGATTGGGGTCTAAATAAATTTTTCTTGTGTTCTGTATTGGTGTTAATGACTACAGAATGAGTAGCCACTGAATTTTGGTGATGATATTATGGTCCCTGTTTCGAGATAATCCCAAGTTTTTCTTGCCTTAACTAATATTTTTTGGCTGTTTTGACAGAAGTAGTATGAACTGGCAACAGTATTGCTGAAATCCCTTCCTGCACAGCTTCTCCACAGAACTGTAGTGAATTATCAGTTCTTTAGTGTTTTGGAGTAAATGTGATGCACACCAGACAAAGACTTCGGGCTGGAGGTAGTTGCCATGGCTGGCTGTTGCCTTCTGCTTTAGGGGGAACAAGATGAGAGGTACCTGTAAGAGTTCTGCACCTGCAGGGGGCTGATAGGTGAGCATTCATGTGTGTGCTGAGGGCAGGGTGTGGACAAGCACCATGTGCAGGCCTGGTCACTGACCGTGCGCACAACACGGAAAATCATTTCCCTGTCTATTACCCACGCAGTGCTCCCAAAATGGCACAGCTTGCATTGTTATGCTAAAGAGAAAGAAAAGTTCGCATTTCAAGATAAAACAGTCCTTTTAGTTAAACAATCATACTGCTTATGTAACAGCTCTTTTAATGGTAAAGTACAGCTGGAGCCTGGAACATGTTGTTTACAGAAATCGCACGTAACGGGTAACGATGTAAAATGCGATAAATGGCGCTGGAAGCATTAGACCTGGGGAGAGACCTGAGGCTGGAACAGTGAGGATGCCACCTTCCTGAGAGCAGGAGGTTTGAACCAAGCTTTAGTAAACCAGGAGAATGGGCTCTGTAAAGGTCATCAGAGGACTGGTGTAACGAGCTGCTGCAGGAAGAGCAAATGGTTCTTCTCAAACAAGGATGGGAGAGGGCCCAAGAGAGAGGAGCTGGCACAGCACTGACGGTGCCCATAGGGAGGATTTCAAGAACTGGCAAGGGTAGAGGGGACTATGATGGTGAAGATTTGATGTGACAAGGAGAAAGAGGAGGCAGACAGAAATTACAAAGCTCTGGAACTTTCTGGTCTTAGTTTACTGTAATTGTATTTTCATGCATAGGAGAAAGGCTGCTGAGTAATCTTGCTCTTTCTTGAAATGGTAACCACTGACTAATACACATGCATACAAAAATACATATATACTCACACCCACACAAACATGCAATTGCACAAAATTAGGAAAATTGCCCAACTTTCTTCTGAGATATTCAAGGTTTGACAAAGCAAATTCTGACTCAGTGTTAGCTGAAAAATGGTGTCTTCACTCCAGCATATTAATTTTCCTTCTTTCCTTGAGATAGTTCACAAGCTTTGTATGTGTCATTAGTAAAAAACAGAGCCATAAACAGATATATTTGAAGTGTCAGTTTTTCATAATAATTTCAACTAATTTGTTCAATCTGGAGTAAAAAAACCTGGACTTACGGACTGTGGTTGTTTACAGCAAGCTCAAGGTTCATAGTTAGATGTTATATGAATGATGAAACAAAGTTGTAAATATTTATTACTGAGTGAAATCATGTATTTTCAAAAGCACATCTTTGTACACAAAGCATTTGTAAAACCCCATTAGTGGTATTTATGTTTCCACATAAAAATTCTTCATTTGCAGCCAACTAAGTATCTTAGGCTTAGATCTTCCTGCTGCATGTAATGCAATCACAATGCTGTCACAGACATCACAACCATTTCTGTAAAATATGATGTTAAGGAAGACTGAGTTCATTGTGCTATACATATGTAAATGCCTCTCTTTCAGTAGTCTCAGAGGAAAGAAGATGCCAGAAAGAATTCTCAACCAGCGTACATATTAATTGTCACCACCTTTCATGGGATAGTAAAGTGCATTCATACAATGAAAAGCATTAAGAATCAAGGAGGCTGCACAGGGAAAGTGAGGGCATTTGAGTGAGACCTAAGGAAGTCACACGGTAAATTATGATAATCTAATTGTAATCCAGAAAATCATTCTTCCCTTGTTTGTGTCTGTAATGAGGTAATGGTGCAGCTCCTCTGGCTTCAGACAGCCACTACAAATTTACAGCAGGCTATGGAAGATCAGGCTGCAGCACAAGTTCTTTGTTTTCCTTGTACCTCTACAAGGATGTCTGAGTTCAGAATAGCTATTGGTGTAATTCGGAGCAGTGAACATGTTGTTCCTCTGTAGCTCAAACTCCTTTCAGTTTCAGAGAACTGGTTATCCCAGAGCACGATTAAGTGGTTGTTGATCCTATATGTTTATGTGGTTGTGTGTAAGCTTTTCAAATCTGGCTGTGGATAGGAAATCCACAGTATGACTAAATAATTGGACTGAAAGTTTTGCATTGTTATCTGGACAGAAACAGCACTCATATGGATATGCTCCAGTACAATAGAACTCTACTAAAAACCACTGGGTGTGCTTGAAGTAGATGACCTCTATCTTTGATTGGCATCTGCTCAGAATTGAAACAATTAGAACTATGCACAAAATTAAATTTTCTGAATGAAAACAGGTTCCCAGCTACATACTAAAATGAAGGGATCAATATCTGATGATTTTGACATAAGCATGACTTGACACAGATTCTGTCTTTAGTTCCACCACTTTTCACTTAGGAACTTGACTTGGGTTCTGCCTTTCGCCGAGGCACAGTTGTTCACAAGAAATTGAAATGCTGCTTGCCTCTGTAATTTCCCAGTGTGTAGCCCTTGGCTGTTCCGTGCTGCTTCTCTCCTGCATAGAGGATGCTAACTGAGCTGGTATTACCTTAATGAACACATTGAAAGTGTGGTTTAATGCTGCTAGACTCCATATTTAAAAACATTTTTTGAAATCAGAGTGAGTATCAGTAAAGTATTCTCCTGTGGCTCCAATGACCGGTTCAATGACTTAATTGACATTCTTGTGCAGTGCTTGGATCCCTGCCAGTTAATGACCCATTGCTGCAGTCTGCACAGGCAAATCACCCCTTTTGTCCTGCTCCTCAGGCTGATGGACCTCTGCCCAAGTAATGGCTGCAGGCTCCTATTCTCAGCTGGCACAGACCCCAGCATGCCCATAAACATCCCTGAAAGGATCATAATATGGTATATTGGACAGATTCTGATATGCCTTGCAGTGATGTACCACCAAGATGTTCTGCTGAAGCTGGTGACTTTGCCAGTGGCATGGCTAAAAGGAGAAACTGGTCCCTACGGTGCTGTTTTCTCAGTCAGTGAAGCACTTGCAGGCTCTCAGCTAATCTGTGTCCCTTTAGATGATGCAAGTTTTTGTGAACCCTTTGTCAAACATTCAAAATAGCTTGTATTTTTGTTCTGCTTTTAAATGGTTGTATTGTTTCTTCCCCCACAGGATTTTCCATTCTTCAGGCAATTATGGAAGCAGCAGTACAGAACAACTGGCAAGTGACAGCCAGATCTGTAGGAAGCATAAAAGATGTTCAAGAGTTCAGAAGAATTATAGAGGAGATGGACAGACGGCAAGAAAAAAGATACTTAATTGACTGTGAAGTAGACCGAATCAACACCATTTTGGAACAGGTATCTGCTTTTCAGAAATTGTGATCTCTCTGTGACAGACATCATCAATATTTCCAGAACCACTTATTTCTAGAGATTATGAAGTATCCTTTGTGATGTGAGTCCCAACAACTGGCCAGTTGCCTAGTAAAATTAAAATGCCACAGTGATGCTCATAGTTGGTGGCAGCACTTACATGTAACCTACCAGGAAACATCACTGTGATATTTTTTCCCAAATGTTAATAATGAATAATTTTAAGTAGATAAGGAACATAGAACCTAAACTGCCAGAGTAATATCACTGGAATCGAGGCTGCTTGTAAGGATTGCAAGACACGTGCAGTTTTTTAAGTAGAACATGAAACAAGAAATAAAAAGCCAGTGAAGTATCACAGAATCATCTTAAAGAATTCCCAGAAGGAAATCCTACTAATGAAAAATTCGGCTGGTAGTCCAGACAATTCATTAGTACATTTTGGTACATAAAGTCCTCCCCTCTGCACAGACAGTGCTGTTGACAGGCTTAAATTGTGGGTGATGGAGTCTAAGCACCTGTGTGGGCAAGATGCATCTGGAGTGACTGTTTTGCTCTTGCATGGCTTTCCCAGTGATTGCTTTGCCCCAGAGGAATGGCTGTACCCTCTGGCCATCCCAGGGTATTGCCCACTCTGCCTGTGTCAGGGGTTGTGCTCTGCTATGTGCTTGAAGAGGTGTAGTAACAGCTACAAATTGTCAGAAGCAGGCACAGGACAGTTCCCTGCTGCCTGGGCTCACAGTAAAGCTGGTGCTGGTGTGGCACCAGATCCATGCTGCTTGGTTAGTCACAGGCATGTGGGAATTCACTTGCATTAAGACTGAAAAACGCTCTGATTACTGCCACTTTGTAGATTTAACTGTGGGTTCATAGTATGGAATAGATCAAGACATTCAAGACATATGGCACAGATCAATAACATTTAAATTTCATGAAGCATTAGCTTATCTCTTGGAAATGTTATATTGTGAACTACCAGCAAACTGACCTTCACTGCCATAATCCCTGGGAAACATGAAAAATATATTCACTGCCTTCCTTTTCAAAATGTTCGGTTCCTGTCAGGCCTTGAGGTGCATCACTGAGGGTCAGGCTGTGGGGACAGCCAGGTGCCATAGCTGCTGCTGACAGAGCAAGGAAGGAGGTGCTCAACAGAACAGGAAACACGCTGTGCTAGTCCCTAACTCCGAGAACTGGCGTGGTTGTGGTGCTAATACACAGCATTGCATTTTATGCTGTATTTTTAGGCAATATGGTGAGTGCTGTCCTTAAGGAAATTCATACTAAAAAGTGTAGGAAACTTGTCTTTTTTTTTTCTTTCGTTTGCTCATGTTCTTGGAAAAGATGCAAAACACCATACCTACCCACAGCCCACTCTTCTGAAAATGCTGCAGGAGAGCACTCCTGAGCCAAGCTGACAGAGCTCTGTGGGCCCCCTCTCAGCTGAGAAGCAGGCCTTTTGTTTGATCTGACTTCATTTACATTTGTTCTCATTTTTTCTTCTGTTGTCCAAGTAAGAGGGAAAAAAGTCAAACCACTTCAGTGCCTAAAAGGAAAGCTGTATACCAAGCAAACCATGTAGCAAAAAACCTGGCAACTCTTTTCTTCCGCTACTATTCTAAATTCAACTCCAGTGAATTTTAAATTTTGTTAAATGTATGATTTGGTCTTCTGTCAGTGTGATCAGCATCTGTTAAGTAAAAATTTGCTACTGGGGTGTCCAGGTTTCCCCAAACTCTACAAAATATGCTGGTGCTCCCGATGCTAAAAATATCTTCTCTCAACAATTTCCAAAGGTTTTTTAATTGGATACTGAAAAACAGTGACTTAAATTTCTGCAGGGAAAGTCAGTAATGGTGGATGGACCCTAGGTTGATAGCTGAACAGTTATTGTTTGTAGGCTTTTCCTTCCATCTCCTCTGCTTACCCTGTTATCTTCTCATAAAGTAGTTAAAAGTTTTCACAAACATATGTCATATTTAAATCCATCCATCCAGTTTGCTCAAGGGAATGGAGAGTTGTCTTTTTTTCAGCCAAGTGTGTTTGCTGATAGCATAATATTGAGGGGAGAGATAAGTCTGGATTTACATATTTCAAATCTAGCGTTTTATTGCAGTTTAAAAAGTCAATTCAGTGCTATGTGTGGAGTCTAGGAAGGCTGCTCAGCTGAGAAGCAGTAACATCTGAGCCTGTTACCCCTTGCTGATGCACATTTGCAGATGGGTTTGTTTTTTCCAGTGAAAACAAAAGGAAGCCAAGACACCCTACCTGTCTGAACTGCTGTGTCAGAGCACTGATGGACAAACTGTGTCCATAGAGGGCTGGTGCAGACTGCCTCTACCCAGCTGCTTCTCCATCCCTCTCCCTTTTTTGGCCTCCTAGGAGCAGAACTCCAAAGGTCAACCCTCCCATTAGCTTCTGGGAGTGCTGCCTCCCTCCAGAGAGGGAGTTTATGTGGTTACTGTGTGGCACCTGCTATTTCACTCTGAGTCAGCAGCAGCACTTGCCAGTGACCCTGGATTTCAGAGGCTTAAATAGAACTTATTCAAGAAGAAAAGTCATAGCAGAAATAAACAGACTGTAAACCACTAAACAGTCTACACACGCACTGCGTTTGCTATCAGACTTTTGGGCTCTTGGCCAGCCCATTCAGCAAGCTTGTCAGTGCTCTGCTCCAGGAGCCATGTATCATGGCTTTGTGTTAGTGCTGGGATTCAGTAAGTGACCTCTTTTCCTGCATCAGGCTGGTCAGTGTGTGCACTTCTCTTCCTTTGATCCTTTTTTCAACCAGTTCAGACCAGAGTATACATCTCTTCCAAAAATTCAGGCTCATCCAAAGACAATTACACATCTGGGGATTTCCTTCTGAGATTGCAGGTCATTCTGGAATATTCTGTACCTTCCTCCAGAGAGTCAGTGACCTTGAGTATTCTGTGTGCCTTTAGCATATGGTACATGTGTGTATGTCCCTACATTTCCAAGACCTGTCATATGAAGTATTTCTCTTCTCAGGGCCCTCTGTACCTGATCTTCCCAGCTGTGAGTATAAGATCAGGGAAAGAGGGCACCTCAGCTCCTACTCTGCCTGAGTAACCTGTTCTGTGCCAAATTTCATACTGCAGGCTGATTTGTTTTCATTCCCCATTCAGAAGATTTTGTGGTGGGCCTTGTATTTTGTCCTGGAGGTAGATACCCTGCCCACACCTCTTCAGCTGTAGACTAGAGGGAAGCAGAGAAATCAGTAGTTAATTCTGTAAGTTGCCATCTGTTTGTTCACCTGCCCTGTAGTTCTAGAACCCCTGAGCATGTGGATCTACATCCCCCTTGCACAACAATACTATATCCAATTCAATCATCTACTGGCCTCTCAGGCATACAGATAGCAACACTTTTATCATGCAAAATTCATAAGCTCCCCACACTTCTTGTCCCTTGATGCTAAAATATTCTATATTTCTTCACAGATAGATATAAAATTTTGTTCTCATAAACAGAAGAACATTTTCTTCTGAGAGCTAACAGTAAGCCTTAGCCTGTTCAACCATGTATTTAGAGACATGTTTTTGAGTTAAGAAATATGTTTTTCTTATTCCCAGGATAATAAGCTGTATTTCAGACTAGAGTGGCTTTATGTCCACGTAGAAGAAAATCTCCCGAGGGCAAACAAGGAGGAAGAAACTCCATTCAGAATCAAAATGGTGAAACTTTACAAAAGACCTGTTTATTCCAGAGACTGCCTGCTTTTATCAAAAGGATGCTATCTCCAAACTTAGTCATGAAGGTTAGGCTCCAAGGCAGTGTCTGTATTAAGTGAAGGCATCTCACAAAGCAAAAGCAATATTACAGTAGAGAATGCAGTCCCCAAAGTTTTGCAGTGACAGCCAGACTGTCAAAGACAACTTAAAGTGAAGCCTCTGTAGGATTAAGAAGGGTAATCTGATTGACTGAACTCTGTGCTGTGCTCGCACTGACTGTGACGACCTTCGAGTGTGAAATTCTGAGATTAGGATGGAGGTGTGCAGGGTTTCTGTACAGCCCCGGCTGCGTCTCTCTGCAGAGCTGCTCGGATCTCACAGGAGTGAGCTCACTGCACAGCAGCTTTCACGTTTGGGGTGTCATAAGAATAAACACAGAACTGCAGTATTGGGTTGATGAACAGTCATTAAAAATAACAATAGGGAAAACTGTAATTGAAAAAATTCAAGACCGCTGTCATGTAAACTTCCTGGTTTATGTGTTCCATTAGAAACAGATGGTCTGGTGGGGGCTTGCCTGTGTTCTCCGTAGCAATTTAAAATACAATTGCCCACAAATCCAGAGGGTCACTTGAAGCAGAGCTATGAGTAGCTTCAGCTTCTGCTTTGCTTTTGAAGCCCAGCAGTGCCATGTCCTCTGAAGGCACTGTGCTGCTCAGAGCAGACCCTGCAGAGCAGTGTGCCTGTCACCTTCTCCAGGGCTCAGGGCCACAGCTGTGTCACTGGCTGATTTTATCCTGTGTCTGCAGCTGTGTGGAGCAGTGGGGTTCAGCTGGGGCTCCAAGAGAGTATCTGCTTTGTAGACTGTTGTGTAACATCACACTGAAACTGGTACAGTTCATTTTTACATTTCCAATGAACTAGAAACTTAAAATTTAGGACGTTTCTTCATTAGATACCCATGAGTATTGTTGAAACCAGGATGTAAAGCAGAATGAAAGGTCACTTATTTCTCTTCACACCCAGCGAGTTTCAGCAGCTCCCAAGTCCATATGGGCATATAGGGAGGAAAGGGGAATTACTTAGGTCAGGCACCCTCAGGAGGTAGCCAGCAGAAGAGTAAGAATGGGGATAAGTCAAAAGTGACAGCTGTATCTGCCTTAAAGGGCCTGCTCCTGTCAGCAGAAACTCATAAAGGGCAGGAGATGAATTGCTAAAGCAGAGAGAGTAACGTCTTGGGTTAATTGCCCCACATACAGCACATTTCACACTACCTGAGGAAAGAATTTC